ACCGAATATGACAGAAAAGAAGAGAATGACCAAATAAGAGTAACTCGGTGGTCTCTCCTCCTCCTTATGTGAGGATCTAGTTGTTACATCAATCAATTGTCCGTTACATGGCCTTCAAACAGCAGAAGAACATGCTGCCCTCTTCGAACTCTTCGATGCTGCTCTTAGCTATAATGAAAGGTGAAACGCCTATCTAATTAATAGATGGTAGGATATGTGATGGAGATTGAGCCATTATGGTTCGTGGGTCAACAGAGTCATCATGACCTTTATGGTTGTTCCTCCTCCAACCTGTACTCAATGGATAACGTGTGTAAAAGTATCCAGCTCTGTATAGTAATATGAAACTACCGATTACTACATCATCCGCATTGTTACGATAGTAAAAGGCATGGTCGTCGTCGTTATTAATCGTAGTGACTAACCACTACTACCCTGAATATAAGGGTTCCTCTAATAATAATTAAAGACGACAAGCTATCTTTTCAGATGAACTATATTAATTATACTCGATATGGTTCATGGTGAACCATTAACTATTAACTGACTCTCTCAACACAACAACTCTATCATTAAAGTTGCTCAGCTGTCTACTACGGTCGAGGAACTAACAGTGATAGTTATCATTAAAGGCTACTGATTATGATGCTGATATTACTACTATCATCATCACGATAACTGTAGTATATGAGGGGTATATTATCAATATATTTTGTTATCGATAGTACTGGTATTTAGCAAAAATGCTATAAGTGTATTAATCAACATCCATATGATGATGATCATCATTCTTAGCAACTTCCTCCTCCTCCTCTTCTCCATCCTGATCATCAGAGCTATCATCAGGTTCCTCTACAATGGGTTCAGGAGAGCCTCTCTCCTCTTCTTTACTATTAGACTCGGCCGACTCGTCTTGAGCCTTCTTAGATGATGGTGGTGATGATGGAGGCTTCTTCTCAGCCAATATACCATCAGCCAACTTGATAAGGGCATCAGTCTTATCATTGAGCTGTGATACAGTATATACTGGTTGTAGATAAAGAGGTGTCTAACTTGTAATGCCTTCTGTTGAGATAACCATGATTCAGTTTATGGCATTCTTCTATATATACTCTTTCCTTTCAATAGCAATATGTGCATAGGCAA